TTCTCTAATTTTTTTAGTTTCACGATTTTCTCAAAAAAATTAGGATTTTTAAAATTTAGAAATCTTCTCTAACTTAACTAGCGTATCCAATTTATTTGTAATTAGTGGAATAAGAAAATATGAAGAGGAAGATCTAAATTGCTAGAAGAGAGATCTAAAAGGTGAAGGACGCCCAGTCATGCCGTACAAGCGAGGTGAGAGAAAACGACCTGTCTTTTGTTTTCATTATTAAATTTTTATTTTTAAATTTAAACACATAACTTGTTAGAGTCGGTATCCAGTTTACCACTTTACCCCTTAAAACCAGATATGAGGTGGCAAAATGAGAAAGAGAGTGTCGAAGCGAGTGTCTAAAAGCGACTGACCCTAGCATTCCTCATAAGGAAAATATAGAAGGTCCGGTTAGCAGCAGGCTCACCCTGCTACGAGCCCATTTGTCTCTGGACTCTTTATCTTCCGCCATGGCTTCTGAGAAAGAAGCCGCTATTGCGGTTGCCCCCTCCGATGCTCCGACCATGTATGTTTCTGCTCTCCGATTCTCAAATTTCTGCCTTTTCTTTTGATTCTATTTTTGAAACGTACACAGATAAAACACATGCGCTTTGTTTGACTCGACGGAAAATGGAAAAGAATGGAAACAACTTTTCTTAGAAATTAGTGAAAAAATGTCAGCTTGATTCATGATATTGGAACCCTTTTCCTTTTTCTTATATCCAAACATATTCATTGATTGTTTTAGTAATTTAGGGGTTACTAGAATTGAATTGTCCTTTAGGTTTTTGTAAAAACAGTTTTCCATCCATTTTTATTTACTTTCCAAATGCATTACTTGCAGCTTTGACAAAATCATCAAGAAAGAGATTCCAGCAAATGTGGTTTATGAGGATGATAAGGTACTGCTATTCCTTTTTATCTGTAGGGACATGGTGAAATTTCTATTTGTAATGGTTTGTACTGATTAAGGTTTGGGTGGATTTAATAAGTAGTCTAGTAGGGTAGCTAAAGACAGAACCTTGACTACAAAATTTGGATGCTTTTGCTCAATTCTTGTTTAGAAGTGAGCTAAGGTGGTTTGGTTTTACTTTTAGTTGTTGGTGCGAACAACTACATGAATTGTATTTAGTTCAAGTTTTTTAATAGAATATCCAATTTTTTGCAAAAAGTATTTTCAGGTTGGATTGAACAACTAGTGTTGTTTTCTTGAATCATATAATAGATGCATTGTTCTGATTATCTGTGTAGATGAATTACTAGTTTTGCTTCTATATTTTTATTTTGAATATGGCTTTGAGTGTACTATAGTTTCCAGTTAATATAGACGGTTGCATATGTTAGTTGATCCATTACTTCTGGTTTTATAATTTGTTTGTGTTTTCTTCTATTTTCTTTTCCAGGTGTTAGCCTTTAGGGACATAGCTCCTCAAGCTCCCACACATATTCTAATTATTCCCAAAGTAAAAGATGGCTTGACTGGTCTGTCAAAGGTAATCCCCCTTTCTCAATCATATAGGGTAAGACAATAATTTTTTACTCTAATTTGGGGGAAGTCACAGGCCTTGCATTACAACTCTTCTTTTCAATATATTACCATGCCATCTATGAAATGTAACTCAATAGAGTATGAATGTCCCTTTTTTCTTTGTAACTGGGTATGGCATCCACTTGAAGATATCTTGCATCAGTTAGCTTTTGCATGATTTGTGAACACCCTGTTTTATGTATTGGTAGGGATTTTACCATTTTACAAATCTAACCCCTTCAAACATAAGCTGGTTTTAGAAGATACCTGCTTGATTTTGTCTGCTAATCTGCCTGACCTGTTCTAACATTTGCCCTAAAAGAGTGGTAAACATGCTTGTAAAATGGTTCTTGTTTGTGGTGCATTGATGCAAATACAATAGGTGCTTTCTCTGCATTTCATCCTTCACTAAAGTGTTTGCCAAAATCAGAGGTGTAAGACCTTGATAAAAGCATTTGAACTAAGCATTGTCAATGGGTTGTTTTGTGTTCCATTTCCATAACTGTTGGCTTCAGTGTTACTTCTTTGAGCTAACTGTGGCTTAGAACAATGCATTGGCTGTATATTTCAATATTTTTGTAGCCTCATAGGCGGGAAGTGGCACTGAAAGCTGACATTTATTTGGCCACTTCAGCAAGTCCTGAATATTCTTATTCTTAACCTCAAACGGTACTTTATTAAAATATTTTTATTGTTGGATATAGGACACTGTGCTCTTTTCCATGCAAAAAGATAATTGAAAGAATTTGTACAATTGTCATTGAGAACTTCTATTCTTATATCTGTAGGCTGAGGAAAGGCACTTTGAGATTCTTGGCCGCCTTCTTTACACTGCTAAGCTGGTAGCCAAACAGGAAGGACTAGAAGATGGTTTCAGGGTTGTGATTAATGATGGTCCACAAGGATGTATGTACAGTTTCTTCTTTCTCCATTTTACATGCTTAAATGTGTGTCATGTGTATGTTATAGAACTTTTATTGATGTAGGAGTGTTCCATTGCAGGTCAATCTGTTTATCACATTCACGTCCACCTCCTTGGTGGCCGCCAAATGAACTGGCCTCCAGGATAAGATGGTGTAAATATTGATTTGGGCAGGCAAGACTTTCATTGTAATGATGGTACTGTAGTATTTGTTGTCTGCCCTGATTGATGATTGTCTAATCATAAGCAGACTAGTTACTAGTTGCTTTCTAGTAAGATGCTCTGGATGTTCCATGGCACCATCTGCAGGGCTTGCCCCATGCTGGGTAAGGCCAGTGACCCTTGTTAAGTATGAAAATAATATGCTGTGACTTAGCTATGCCCTGTGTTCCTCATTTTCTTCAAGTTTCCAAGTGAAGTGATGTCAGTTTACTTTTTGATGCTTTGAGCCATCCTTTGAATGTTTTTGGAAGCTTGTGAAAGATTATGAAGCGTTAGACTGCAGGAATAAACAGTAAGATGGGGTGAAAGATGGGCATAATAAGCCAAACGGGCGCCGGTTTTTTCAAACCATTAACTTAGGAACCATGTCCTGCAACATTACATGGATCAAGGCAAGTGATTTGGGTTTTTGAAACTGTGTTACCAGTATAGAAGGGTAGCTCTTTTCTCCTTTCTCTTGCAGGTTCTGATCTCCTCAGTCCCTTTTAAAAACCGATTAATCATATTTGGACTGTGAGATTCTTAAAATTTTGCTTCGTTGTGACCCGTTTCTTGTTGAATTTCAATCAACAATAAGAGAGAAATGCAAATGAGCCAAGTAAATTAGCGGGAAATTTCAGTAATTGAGAACTTTGAAGGTTGAAAATAGACAATAGAAGATGATAATGAAAGGGCCTTTGACTTACCATTTTAGGGTCAAGACAATGGCCGTTAATGAGTAAAGTAGTTTTTGAGTAATTTATGAGTTATTTGAGTTGAAATCAATTTGAGTTCGACTCATTTGATAAACAAATCAATCTCAAACTTAATATTTGATTTTGGTTGTACGATAAGAAATAATTATTTCTCATCTTTTATCTTACTTCACTTGTATATTATGCAATTTAAATTCGAAATTTTTTATTTTCAGTAAAAAAAGATTAGCACTGAGTAATGAGTTATTTAAATTAGTGGCGGTGGAACTTAATGTTGAGCTCAGTAAAAAAACAAGTTTGAACTTAAACGTCCATAATTACTTGTGAGTTATTGAAGAATATTCAGTTTTAAATTAAAAATTACATTATATATTTATTTATTAAATTTAAATATATAATAGAATAAAAATCTATTTATATATAAGTTATATCCACTATACTTACATAAGTTTTAGGTCCCGTTTGGTATAGTGGTTTTGGGGTAGTGATTAGCAGTTTTACCTAAACTGCTAAATATAGGTGTTTGGTAAATTTATATATTTCAAAACTGCTATAAATAAAGTGTTCGGTAAAATTTTTATTTAGCGGTTTGAGACTAGCGGATAACGGTTAGAGTCCAAACTGTTAACGGATTGAAAAAGCTAGTTTATGTAACTTTTTGTATCGAACTGTTAACGGATTAAAATTTTTTAATTTTATTTACAAATTTATCCATTTTAATTTTTAATTTGTGGTCACATTTTTTAATTAATAATTATCTAATAAATT